GCGGTAATGAGAGACAATAGTCGGACTGTTGTGCCGACCACTGCCTCTGCTCTCGAGTCCACGTCTGGGACTCTTCGTGACCGCCATTTGATGACCACATGTCTTATGTCTTGCGGTTGTGTTTCAGGCAATGAAAGTGTTGTCAACAAAGCATTCAATTGAGTGAACGCTGAAATGTGTTTCTCATTAAACCATTCATTGCTTGCCTTTAATATGGGATACGTTTTCACTCCTATTTGTAAACAATGTTTCCCATTATAATACAGACTACTCTCGCTTTCATCAACTATGGTTGCAATTGTCAGACTGTTGTAAGTGTTGGCCCATTAAAGCGGTGCTAATATGAGCCGCCTTTTAATTGGCATAAATATTAATTAGTTGTTAATCATAACAAAGTTAACAATTAGTTAATTTAGTAAATATTGTGAAATTAAACGATCATAAACTGTATAAACCATTGTTTTACATCAATTTTGAGTTAACATAAGTTACGTTTGAAAGTTTGAGTTTAAAATTAAAATTAACTTTCTAGAAGTTCTAGATTCTAGAACCTAGACTAGAACTTTTAACATGAACATTTAACTTAAATTCATTTATTATTATTTATCTTATTCAAACTTTATCTATTATTTATGACGATAAATATTATTAAATACATAAATTTAACATTTTAAAACTTATTTATTAACTATTTTATAGAAAATATTGTCCCAAATAACAGTACTTTGATTATTGATAGTGTGTTTGTGTATCTTTTGAGTTTTGAGATAATTAAATTAAATTTTACTTTTCATAACATGTATGACAATTATATAACCATAAATCTCAATGAAATTAATGACTCATTTATATTGTATATTGTGTTGAATAATATTTGCAATCAGTTTTGAAAGGATTAACGCAAACAGGAATTTGATCTTTGATTATATTTCTACGACAAGTGTTTGATATTTATTTTGATTTATTTATCATTTATTTACTGTATCTCTCAATAGAGAGTCAAAATAAAAATTTTAATTTTAAAAACTTTATGAAATATGAATAATTATTATTACATTCACTTCCCATTACAATATGATATTAAAATCCGGAATACAATTCTTTACTCCAATTATAGATATCTCTACTTTTAATATGCATTTCATTAATTCAATGCATTTGTTAAACAAAAATTATTTCATCAAATCGTAAATAGTTTTGATTAATACTTATCCGTATGAGAGCTCAACACAAACACAAGGCATTCAATGAGAGATAGATTTTATTAATTATCTCGATATACAAACACTCAATAACTAAATAAAATTTCTCTCAGAATATCATTTAGTATTTTTGTCATAGTTTTTATCTTAATCGTCATAACAGTGTTGTATGTGTTTTCAGACCTAACGATAAATTTCTATAGCAAACCCGTAAAAAGGATTGATTGTAATGCATAAAGTTGTATCACGATATGTTTTGTATAGTAAATGTCTATTTCAATGCAATAAATGTAAAAAACAAAATACTAAATGTAATTCTCAACTAAAAAGTTATTATTTGAAAAACATTTAGCATTGAATTTTGTAACACACATAAAATAGAGTATTAATTGTATTGTGTATATATATTTTTTGTTGGTGTGCTTATGGTGAAACTATATAGAGTATATTGTTGTTAAAACATGTCTCAGTATTTAAATAAAACGTTAATTAATTACATTTTAATACATGCGTTAATTAGTGTGACATTCGGTGAGAATCAGACTTTAAATCCATTCACATCTACTGATTGGCAAAATAGTGATCAAAATTTTAGCTCATTATTTCACACCAATTCCTATTTGTCCACAAAATATATACATAAGAATATCGGCAATACTGATGGTTATAATACATATAAAAGGTGTAATAATAAAACATCAAATTGCGATGGTCAAGACCTTTGTTGTCCAATTGATGAAACTACTACCATGTGCATCCATTCAATACAACCTAGGAGTAAATGCAAAGGTATTTGCCCATTGTTAGATTTTTAACAATGTAAAATTAGTTTTTTACCACAATGTTTTGTTATTTTTATTCAATTTTGTTGGCTGCCAGAATTTTTAACAATTTTAATAAAATCTCTTTTGTAGAAGTACATTATAAATCTAATTCTAGATTTATCCGTTATTATAGAATTTATTAACCATAATAATATTGTTGAATAATTTAATGTTAATTAATTTATTTTCAAAAGCACATTTGAATAAACTACAATAAACTACTTGTATACCGTATATTAGTGGCAATATTAATTATCCAACTTTTTAAAATTTAAATTAAATTGAATTTGTAAATTAAAATATTTAGTGAATAATAGAAAAACTGGTCAATTAATGTCTAAAATTGTAATACATTTTTAGGACAATTTAACGCAAACTGTACGAAATCATCGGATTGTGAGTCCATTCTCGGACTCAAATGCTTTACTCGTAAAACAAAGAATATAAATGAGGAAAAGGGATGTATTTGTCCAGAAGGCAAATGGTTTGACTACGACTCCACTAAACTCATGTGTGTGGACGACAGCAATGGTAACAATGATTGTTGTCTTATGATAATTGACGTCAATTAAAACAATATTATATTTTGTTGACCGCAGACCCGAACACAGCGATGCAAATCTATAAGATTACAATGATCTTCGCCTCCTGTTGTTTGGCACTTATACTCATCATATTCCTCGTCTGCATATTGAGAAAGTCTTATTGTCCGCC